CTGCCTGGGCAGGGGCAGAGGAGGGGCAGGACTGAGCTCTGCTCTGGGGGGAGCAGGGACAGCCCCCAGGGAATGGCTGGAGCTGTGTCAGGGCAGGCTCAGGGTGGATCTCAGCAAAAGGTTCTTCCCCCACAGGCTGGTTGGGCACTGAACAGGCTCCCCAGGGCAGTGGGCACAGCCCCAAGAGGGTTTGGACAACACTGTCAGGGACAGGGTGGGATTGTTGGGGTGTCTGTGCAGGGTCAGGAGTTGGACTGGATGATCTCTGTGAGTCCCTTCCAGTTCAGGTTGTTTTATGATTCTGTGACTTGTTTGTTCAGTTCTCACTCACTGAGCCCCAGAGGGTTCCAACCTTCTTCATGAGGTCCCAGTGGAGGACACAGCTCATCAATCTTCTTACCTGTGATCAAACAGGGCCCAATCCTGGAAGATGCAGAGCGGATCAAGAAGCAACAGGGAGTCAGCCGCCTCCCAGAGAAGCACATCTCCTTTCAAATCTCACAGAAACCACAGAAACCTTTTCTTATGCCTGGAAGTTTCTGCTCAGCAATCCCCAGTGTCCATTGCCAGCCCCTGGCCTGTCTCAGGGCTTTGGCTGTGCTCCAGCATTGGAGCATTCCTGCCACTGGAGCCTGGAATACACCTGACTCTGCCCCAGCTCAATATCCAGTTCAAGTGGATAAATATCATTGTGTATTTAATCCTCCTTTAGGAATTATCAGGCTTTGAAACTACAGTGGAAAGGCTGAGAGTGTATCCAGGTATGATCCCACTTGACATTTGCTTTGATTTTACTGCAAATAGTTCTGAATAACAGAAAGCACCAGGAATTTCTTCTTACTCCACAGAGCATTTCACCACAGTAGCTTTCCTCTGCTTCCTGTGTTTTCTTTCTCTCCATTTTAAGTATCAATCAGCTGTGTATTTATGACACTCTGTGGGCTGAAATCACCCAGCAGCAGAAAACAGATCCAAGCAGAGCTTAAGTTTAGTGGCAACAACAGAGTTTTTAAACCCGCCCCATTCATGTGCTCATGTGAACATAGAAAATGGGGAAAAGCTTAAAGGAGGAGAGATTACTCACTCCTGAAAGGTGGGATAAGGCATTGTTGATTGGGTTTACACAGCAATGATGCCTCCCAAACCAGGCAACAGCACTGCCAGGCAAAGCAGCTGAGGATTCCTGGCACAGCTCCAGCAGCACCAATAACCAACCCCAACACTGCTGTGCTCTATGTGGAAAAGCACCCTCAGGATTAAACCCTCTGAGCTCTGCCCACGGGGGATAGAGGTGCCTGATGCTTGGGAACAGCAGGAAGTTTCCTACCAGTCCCTCCCCAGGATGGCCCAGCAATGTCCCCCCAGCTGGCACTCAGGCACCATCCCAGGAGCCCAGCCTGGGGCACAGCAGCCTCCTCAGTCGGTGGTGCAGAGGGTCAGACACACAGCCTGGCCCTGGGCCATGGCCAGGGTCTGACCAGCACCTGCCTCACCCCCTCCAGGTGCTGTGCCTCCCTCCCCCTACAATCAGTCACCCCAAAGCGCTTTGCAGGGGGAAGGAAGAGGCAGCCACCAGCAAATGCCTCTTCTGCCCTAAAAAAGGACCTCTCCAAGCCACCAGTGATTCAACACTTCCACATTGGAGTGGACAGTCTGTGGCTCTTCCAGCAGCAGATGCTGTTTAGTGGCATCCCAGGTTGAGATCCAAGGTCAGCAACAAGTTTTGGATGAGATCTTCGAGGTGGTTTCCTTCAACCTCGCTGTGTCCCAGCAGAAACAAACCCCCAGTTTTTATGGCACCAAAAGCACAGCTCTGCTCAGTGCAGAGCTCCCAGAACCTTCCACAAGCAGCACCAGAGTTAGATCAGAAAACACCCAGGCCATGTGCTGCCTATCCAGAACAGATGAAGATCAGCTATGAAAGTTATTGGTTCACATCAGGGTGGGAGAAAAAGCCCTCCAGAAAGGACACTGCAGAGTCCCACGACTGCATCTTCCACTGTGACACTACTGATAGCTGCAAAATGCAAAGCTGATGCACTCCAAGACTTACCAGGTGTGGGTTAGTGCCATTGGAAAGGATATCCAATAAATCTGCAGAAGAAATGAAGTAAAATCTGGGAAAGGCCAACCTCTTCCTGTCCAGATATTCAGCCAAAGCCTTCTCACACAGAGACAACCTGTGGAGACAGAGCAGATGAACAGAGCCCAGGACAGGGGGGTACATATCTTTCCATGCTTCATGCTGCCCTTTGGGTTATCAAGCAGTTTCTCCCCACCATGGGGAAACCCAAGGCATGAGCCTGCAGCTGCCTTCCAGCATTCCTTGAATAGATCAACACAGCACAAAGTAACTCACAGCTCACTCTCTGCTCCAGGGTCAAACACTCAAGAGCCAGGGCAGCCTCATAAAAAAGCAGGAACACAGGTGGAAGAAGAGGTTGGAAAGATTTGCAGTCTGACCTACTGTTTTAGACAAGCTCTTAACTGCCACAGGTGGTTTCACGCTGGGATGAACATTTCCAGAACGGCTTTTATTCTAATGAGCCACATTTTAAAGTCTGATTCCAACCAACTCAGCTTTTTGTGTTTGCAAAGCATGAAAGGAAACTAGTTTGCTCCGATCTAAAATGAATCTTGCAGTGTTCACATGCTAAACTGCTGCTGAGCTTACAAAGTTCCTAAATAACATTCACTGTGAGGAACATCAGCCTTATCCAATTGAAAATAAAATCCAATCTTTATTTGAAATGGAGAGCTGTTACTGCCAGAACAGCTCCACGGGAACTTTGAAGGATGTTTCAGGTGCATTCATATGTTAAGTGAGCAGTGACTCCATCTCGGGACACTCAGGTCTTTCCCAGGGAGCTATTACACCTTGTGTCACACAGAGGGATAATTCTGTCAATTAAAGAACATGGGCTCAGCTCTGCTGCAGTTATCATGGAATCATGGAATGGTTTGGGTTGGAAGGGACCTTTAAAATCCATCCAGTCCCACTCCCTGCCATGGGCAGGGACACCTTCCACCAGCCCAGGTTGTTCCAAGCCCCGTCCAACCTGGCCTTGGACACTTCCAGGGATGGGACAGCCACAGCTTCTCTGGGGGACCTGTGCCAGGGCCTGTCCACCCTCAGAGGAAGGATTTCTTCCCAGTATCCAAACTAAAGATTCTTTCCTCACACCCCTCTACAGCTGTTTCAGTCACTGTATTTGGGTAGTAGTGAGGACATGAGCTGCTCAAACCACCTGGATGGCCCTGATCGTGTGCAAACCAATAGTCAGGATGAGAATTTGCCCCTAAACAAAGCCAGACTCCACTCAGGGGCTTCAGGGTGATGGGTCACAAGTAAAAAGACTTGAGAGAGGTCAGAAGGGCTGAGATTTGTGAATGCAGATAATGTATAGCCTCAGAAACAGCCTTGGAGCACAGTATCATCAAACTTGGAGCTGATTCCCTCTGACACATTCCTGGGATTGACCTTCTACCTACCTCCTCTGAATGTCCTCCAGCTGTTGGGACAGACCTGGTTTACTGGTGGCCTCAACTACATTTGGGGTTTTCTGAATTTCATAGGCCAGTTGTTTAAAATCCGCATCAATCCCTTCAAAGCACTTGGAGTCCTACGAAGGGATACAAGGGACACAATCACAGTGACACTGAAACTGTGCTGAGAGATCTCATCCTCTGGGTGTGGCTTTGGGATGAGGGGAAAGCTCCTCTGCAGAGTCTTCTGGACAGTCTATTTCCCAAAGGCTCTCCCCACCACGTGCCTGGAACAATTCCCCAGTCAGGCCTTTGCCTTGTCATTGTATTCCAAAGGGGCTGTGGATAAAGTGATCCTGTGCAGGAGCCAAACCCTAGGACCACCCATTTCCAGGGGATTGAATTCCCCTTCAGCTCCCATGTCCAGATGAAATACCCAGGAACCCATGGAACCCCAGATCACCAGCAGAGGAGCTCTCTGACACCCAACAGAGACCCTGAGTTTCTGGAGCTAAATAGTGAAAAATAAATAAATTATCTTCAAAACGTCCCTCCTCCTCCTTTCTTCCCAAGCTGAGCCTCTTGAGTGAGACAGGACTCTGAATAAAATTGCTCCAAGCTCTCCTGGGAACACTTCCACATTAACCTGTGTTAAGCCCCTAAGCAAGGCTGTGGCTGAAGTCATGCATGGAATCATAGAATAATAGGATGGTTTGGGTTAGAAGGGGCCTTAAAGATCATCCAGATCCCCTTCCTTCACTAGACCAGGTTGCTCCAAGTCCCACCCCGCTGAGAATTCCATAACCTCTCTGGGCAACCTGTGCCAGGGCCTCAGCACTCTCCCAGGGAAGAATTTCTTCCCTAATATCAAAACTAAACCCACCCTCTGTCATTTTGAAGCCATTTCCCCTTGTCCTGTCCCTCCATCCCCAAAATCCAAAGTCCCTCTCCAGCTCTCCTGGAGCCCCTTTAGGCACTGGGAGGGGTTCTAATGTCTCCCCAGATGCTTCAGTTCTCCAGGCTGAGCACCCCCAGCTCTCCCAGCCAGCTCCAGATGTGCATCCTGGCCCTGTCAGCACAGACTCCCCAGCCCTGGATGCATCCCAAGGAGGTTCAGCCTCCAGAGGGTCTGAGCTTCATCCTGTGCTGTGGAAGGGACGTGGCTGCTGGTTCGTGGCACCTGCTGGGTGGGTGTGGAGGTGCAGACGCTGCCCTGTGAGACGCAGGTTAAACCATGCTGTGGTTTCTGCCCCACCCCCAGAGAGCTGGTGGATGTCACATTGTGCTGGCACACGGGACAGCCCTCAGGGCTCTGGGAGCAGCCCCTGGACACAGAGCCTGGGAAGCCAGGCATGGCCAGCACTCACCAGAGCAGAGGGGGAACAGTCCAAGCAGCCCAGATGGAAGGGATGGGGACAGGGCGAGCCACTGTCAGGTGCACACCCTGTCTGGGGGCCAGTCCCCCATCAGTGACCCTGCACAGGCACTGGGACAGTGGGGACACTGCACCTGCAGTGAAAGCACATTCCTCCTCAGCACGGCCCCAGGCTGGAATAACTCTGGTAGCTGGACTCAAAGCCAACCTGAGGGGTTCCCCGGCGACAACTCTGCTCCATTTCCCAAAGCAGGAGGGGGAGAAGAGCTGCCCTCCCCCTGCACCAGCCAGGGAGGGGATGCTGCCTGAGCCACCTCTGGTTTGATAAGTGGTCACAGCACCAAGGCTGACAGAGCTCAAGGAGGGTTTGGATAATCCTCTCAGGCACAGGGTGTGACTCCTGGACAGTGACAGGTGGGCCTGTGCAGGGCTAAGAGTTGGACTCGATGGTCCTTGTGAGTCTCTTCCAACTCATTCTGTAACTCTGGGATTTGCAGTGCCTGAGTAATTCTCCCAGTGCTCTCCCCTCTGAGGGAAGAGAGAACACACCTGCAGCACTGAAGGAACAAGCAGCCTCCTGCTCAGCCCCAGAAACTCTACATTTGCCATGCAGCAGTGGAGGGGAGAAAATCAGCCCCTCATCACAGCTCAGGCACAGCCTGTGGTACAAAAACATCTCAGGGAAAACCACCCCAGCACTAAGGGAGCCTGCAGAGAGCGAAGCAGCAGGAGAAAAGCCCTGCTTGGGGCAACTTGGCCCTATAGATAACCCTATTTAATAATGGAGGCTCTTCTCCAACGCTTTCCAAAGAGGAAGCAGGATCTGAGGTCTCCTACCTGGGGCAGCTGTGCTCGGATGTCCTCTGAGCCTATGAAGATGCCCTCCAGGTGACACCACGTGCGCTGCACCTCGAACCAGAGGGACAGGACAGCATCGGTGGTGGAGAGCTGCCTCTGCCAGGCAGACACCTCCTCCAGGAAGAAAGCAATGTATTTGGATGACATCAAGTTCTGCAGCTGCACCTGGTTGTCTTCCAAAGTTTCAATAAGCTCCTCATCTGACCTCAGCAAGGGGACGTTGGTGCGGGAGTGAGGCTCGCTCTGGAACTCCCTGGTGCTCCAAGTCACTCTCAGCTCCTTCAGCACTTTCTCCATGCTCATTTCTCGCACTGCTTTGTCCACGATTCCATGGACCTCACCCTCAAATTTATGCAGGTTGAGCTTGAGGAGGTCAGCCAGCGTGGTGTCCGAGTCCATCACAAACCTCACACCCGTCATCTGCATCAGCTGGTTCCAGTGCCTTTCTCTGATGGCAGAGTTTTGAAGTTCTGCCACTGCCTTCAGGGCTGTCAGCATGTTCTTCACCTTGCTCTCCAGCCCAGTGAAAGCATCCCATGCCCTCATTTCTTTATCCAGATTCCGAATCTCTCTTGCAAACTTTCTACACTCCAGATCCATGTTTTCCACATTAATATCCACCCACTTGGTGGTCTGCCAGTCACTGAGGCTGGTGTTCACCAGGGAGATCATATCCCAGAGCTCTTTGAGAAGACACAGCTCCTTCCTGCACTGCTTCAGTTGTTTATATTCTGGCACCATGACTTCAAACAGATCAGCTGATTCCGAAATCGAGGTCATGGCTGACTCCATCTGTTTAATCTCCATGTGCTTTGTATCTAGCAGTTGATAAGGCTTCTCAGTGTCAAACCTAGAAATAAATGTTTGTTATTCATAAGTGATATTGTAACAACTTCTAAAGAAAACATAAACCAAACAGTGCCTCTGAGAGACAGGGGAGAGATGAAAGGTCTGTAGTACACCTTGATGGTACTCCATGGCACTACTGATGCCACCTTAAAGCAATAATGTCCCCTCAGCATCCAAAGTGCTAACACTGGACAGTGTTCCCAGGGACACAACGGCCCAGGCACAGCACTGGGAGCAGGTAAGGAAGGGCTCTGCATCCTCAGGACGCACAGATACGAGCACATAGAGCTTTTTTTTCCCCCTTAGGGTTGCTCTGATGGTATAACCTGTCCATACCTGAAGGGAGCTTCTCTCCCAAAGCTCTCCCTGAACTGGAGCTGCTGGGTGTCGAAGGCAGCGCAGCTCTGGCGCAGGGCCGTCATCTCGTTGGCCTGCAGAGGAGCCACGTGCTGCCTCACAGCCAGGGCCAGCTTCTTCACCTGGTTCCACTTCTCTGGCAGCTCCTGTGGGCAAAACAGAACTGCTGGGAAGCAGGACTTGCTGTTCAGTGTATGATGTGCCTGATCTGTTCACGGGTAACCACAGAACGGGAAAAGCAACGGATTCCGTGTCTAGGACTGTAAGAAAGTTTTGTTGGGATGCCTCAAGTTGTGCCTGGAGAAGGTTAGATTGGATATTAGGATAAAAAACTCATAGGAAGGGTTGCAAAGCATTGGCACAGGCTGCCCAGGGCAGTGGTGGAGTCACCATCCCTGGAAGTGTGCAAAAAACCCTGTGGATGTGGCACTTGAGGAGATGGTTTAGTGGTGAACATGGTGGTGGTGCTGGGGTGTGATTTTAAAGGTATTTTCCAACTTTAACAAGTCAGTGATTCTTTGAAAGGCTAAAGACACAATTTGGGATAAATATTCCCACTTATTCAAAATTTTGAACACTAATGAAGACCAAGACCCTACAACTGACTGTTCTGATTGTAAAAACATGTTCATAACTACCAAAGAAGATCCCAGACTCAATCCTGGGCTCATGGGATGGTTCAGTGCTTAAGAGAGAACAGTGACTCTGACATCAAGCCCATCAGGGCCTGGAACCTGCTGGGAGCAGCTGAAGGCAGGAGAATGGATGTGGATGCAAACTCCTCTGGCTTCCCAGAGCTAAAGGAACAGAGCCTGGGACAGTTCCTGCCAGGAGATGTTATACCAGGAGGACTCCAGGAAGCCTACAGGGCAAATCCCTCCAGGCTGTGCATACAACATTAGTACCAAATGAGACTGGTTTCTTTCTCAGTTCTTCATCCAACTCTGGGTGCACAGCACTGCTGTCCATCCTCCCTCCAGACCTGGTATTTTCTTCAGGAAGGGATTTTATTTCTCCTCACTGGGCTTCTCCTGCCATACCTTCAGCCCAGGCACTGACAGCAAGGGCTCTGCTGTCCCCAAGCCCCAGTGCTGTGCTCTCCCCACTTCCCCGTGTACTGTCCAAGCCTTAAGGAAAGATTTTGAGTTTCTTTTCAGCCCAGTTCACATACTTGGAGAGATTAATGGAGACCCACCAACAGTATGAAAAGAAGGGAAATAACTGAAGACAGCTCTGAGGCAGCAGAGATGGCCAGAGTGGGGCTCCTGAAGGGCCTCTCCCTGGCACATCTCATTCCAAACAGAAATCACTATCCATGACCACAGCAGGGCACACATGGAGCTGCTTCCTTTTCTCCTTCTGCCTACCAGCTCCAGGCTCATCCATCTCCACAGCCACACAAGGAGCAGTACCTGCAGGAACTACTGGCTTTCCCTCCACATACAGTAACAAATGAATCATTCCCACATGTGTTGCTGCCACTTGCCAGAAAGGACAAGTGGTTTTTGTTATCTCCTGCATCTGCAAGCTGTCCCATGTCCTCGTTTCTTCTGTGAGGAAAATAAATCAGTTGTTCGAATGTACTTGGACAAACAGACACCACAGCAGCAGTTCCTGGGCAGGGGGATTAGCAGAGCCAGGTTCCAGCTTCATACTGGACTGAAATGCTGCAGCAGCCAGAACACCCATGCAATGCAGCCCTGCTGGTATTCAGGGGTCTGTAGGACCGTGGGTATCTTTAGGACTCTTAACTCTTCCAGATGTGGTGACTGACCCCCCACAGATCACGGCTGCACAAGCAGAAAACCCAGGGATTGCTAAACCCCCTTTGCTCCACCTGAGCCTGCAGCAGGGAACAGGAGCCTTTGCAAGGCAGGAACTCCTACCCAGCAGCTCCTGCTTTAACCTTGTGCCCTGCACAGACCCTCTGCCCACAGGGGTCCACAGGGCACCCATCAGCAGGCAGCCACACACTTCTCCACTGCATCCCCTGGGCTGCTTGTCTCTGTCCCCAAGGCTGGTTGGGCACCTCACCATCATTACTAACCTTCATCTCACGGTCCCCTTTCCAGAAATGAAAGGGATTCCTAAAAGAAAACTGACTCATCATAGCCACATGTGGAAAGGTGCCAAAATACTTTCATAACCTGCTCCCAGTGATGCCCCCTGGGTCAAGCAGATCTGGTGGTTCAGACACAGTGGAGGCCTGAAGTCCTCTGCCAACATTATCCTTCCCATCTCCATCATTGCCAAGAACCAGCTTATTTAAAAACAATTATAATTGAACCTAATTAAGAGATGTATTTGAAAATGCATTAATTTCGTTCAAGAGTAATCGCTGGGAGTCAGAGCAGGCAATTCTATGTTTTTCATACATAACAAAAGGCTTAATCTCTGATTTAAAAGAAAAATCTCAATATAACTCCAAAATTTAGAGCTATTAAGGAGCATCCTTCAGTAGCAAAATACTATCCACTGAGGCCCTCTAATGACAGGGAGCAGGGCCTTAAACATTCCTGTGATGCTCCTCGGCTCCTGCTCTCCTCACCATCTGCAAACCGTGTGTCCACCACAAGTTCTCACCCACCTCCAGTTGCTGGTGGACTTCCCCTGGCACCTCCTGCTCGTAGGCTCTCAGCAGGTCAATGGTTTCCCTCAGGGGCCCAAACATGGCATCGGTGGCACCGTGTCGCTCCTTCACAGCCAGGAGGTGCCCCATGACCTCCACCAGGCCCTCGTAATCCCCCTTCTCAACCTTCCTGCTCAGCCCTTCCTCAGCAGTTTGGAGGAACTCCTCAAGGTCAGCCAAGCTGTGGAGCACAAAGCAGGGAGGCACAGGATGAGAGCAGTTCCTGTGGAATTATTATCCAGCCTCCCACAGGCAGCTGGGCTGGCAGGGACAGGCACAGCCTGGCTATCTTTGCCCACTGCATGCCAAGGGCAGCAGAGCTGCAATTCATGCTCAGAAGGATCCCTGGATGTGGGACAGCTTCCTGCAAGGAACAGAAAGACAGGGTGGGACTTCTCAGGCTGGGGACAGGGGAGCTGAGCAGGAGTGTGACAGGGACATTGAGCTCAGGGGGGTCTGGAGAGGTGCCTTTGAGAGGACAGTCTGTCCTGTGAGGGTGGGCAGGCCCTGGCACAGGTTGCCCAGAGAAGCTGTGGCTGCCCCTGGATCCCTGGAAGTGTCCAAGGCCAGGTTGGAGCAACCTGGGCTGGTGGAAGGTGTCCCTGCCCATGGCAGGGGGTGGGACTGGATGATCTCTAAGATCTCTTCCAAACCAAATTATTCTATGATTCTGTGACAGTGTTCACCCCATCTCTTCCAATAGAAGAATCCAATCTTCCCAGATGAACCTGGCAGGTTGCAAAGTTCCAACAAATGGGGATTCTCTTTCATGCACTGCCTCACTTCACAAGGCAACTCCCTCCCTGCAGGTGGAGGGTGCAGGTGATACAGATTCACAGCAATTCAGAAAAGCAACCAGGCATTTGTAAAAGGAAAAAAATTCACCCAGGTCTTTAAACAAAAGATGCCTCTCAAAGTCCTTGAGCCATAAATCATCAGAGACAAGGAGAGTATTTAGAGGATGTTCCCATACCTGTTTACCCTGTTCTTAACCTCACTAGCTACTGGGTACTTTTAGCAGAAGCACAATGGGCTTCCATGTCTCTGGTCCTTCCCAGCACATCCATTGTCCACCTCTCAAAGCACTTACTTTTTAAGTGCCCACTTCAATTCTGTGGATGCAGTTGGGCCTAAATGCATCCTTTAATACTTCACCTAATAAAGACTAAACTGCTGAGTCAGGGACTCTCAATAACAACTCCTAAATGCACCTTCACAGCTACACAAAAAGCTCTTTGCACAGAAATTATCTAACAGAATTATGGTGCTGGGAAGACACAAGAGATCATATCACCACCCCACGCAGCTGCCTCCACTGCAGATGTCTGTGAACACTTCTCTGGGAGCAGCCAAGGCCTAGGACACCTTCACGACTTCACTGAAGTCGTGACCAGTAAATCAGCTGGGGCATCATCCTGCACAGACCTGGTGGCTGAGCAGCTCTTCAAAGCAGGGAATGTGTTCTTTCTAAACTTACAGCCCAAACTCCTCTTTGTAACCTGGAGCTACCTCCTCATGACAGGTTGCCTGAATTTGGATGCTTTCAGAAACAGAGCAAGCACCTCATGGCATTAATGCAGCTCTACTGATGGCCAGCATCTGATCCAAAAAAGCAGGCCTGGAACCCCAGTGGAGATGGGATTATTTGGCTCAGGATAAGCTGGCAAACACATGCCCTGTCTAATGCCACACAGCAGGTCCCAGGGCCACTGGCTCAGAGATGTCAATGGTACCAAGTCCATGTCACTGATCCCAGTTTACATGCCAGCAGAGACCAGAGGATGGAAGACACAGGGATGTGATGGAGCTGGCATGAAGCATGGACCCTTCTCCTGCACTAGCTATGGGAGTGGTCACAGCCCCAAGGCTGCCAGGGCTCAAGGAGCATTTGGACAACACTCTCAGACACGTGGTGGGATTGCTGGGGTGTCTGTGCAGGGCCAGGAGTTGGACTCGATGGTCCTTGTGGGTCCCTTCCAGCCCAGGGTATTCTATGACTCAGCTGGCTATCAGTGTGAAGCAACAAAGCCCAGTCAAGACAGGAGGGATCCCCGGGCAGGTCCCAGGAGCAGAGGCAGGAGCAGCCCTCACCTGTGCGTGACGTGCTCCAGGAGGTGCTGCTTGAACACCAAGCTCCACCTTTTAACCTCATTCAGCAGGGCCGCCTTGAAAGGCCGAGCGTCGACCCTCAGCCAGCCCTGGAAGGTGCTGAGGGGCTCCATGTGAGTCACCTCCTCGTGCAGCCCCTCGTAGAGGTCGATGTGCTCCCTGAACTGCTGCAGCGTGGGGAGCGCCTCGGGGACCGCGTCCTGGGCCTCGAGCTCCGCGGCCGTGAGGGTGCGGCCGTAGAGCAGGAACTGGCGGCTCAGCTCCCGCCGGTCCTCGCTGTACACGTGGGAATAGCGCTCCAGGGAACCACGGAACGCGCTGCACCAGCACACCGCGGCCTGCACGCGGCACAGCAGCTCCTGGCGCAGCTCAGCCAGCCCAGGCATCTCCTCCAGGTCTGCCTGCAGAGGGCACA